GATGTTCAAACATCACATAAAGCTAATTCAACAATCGTTAATTTTTTTTGGCTGTGTCCACCAGGATTTACATTTATTTCAGTTTCCGGTCTCGTGTCATGACAGATCTCACGTTTTCGCCCTCAAACTACGCTTTCCTTGCTGTTTCATCTATTATTGTTTTGATCAGGTAAAATATATCTTCTTTTCATACTTTTCTAAATCCGCCAATCTCGTATTAAAATGACCTCTGGCAAATAAACGATCGCCTCTCTGATAATTTGTAAATAATTTTCCTGCCGATACACAAATGCAGACCCTATACTTGCGCTTTGTGACGCAAATTACTCCAGATCGAAATGTCCTGCGGGTTTGCCTTTGTCTGAACTACACGCAACTTTCAATTTAAGACGGCAAGTATGTTGTCAACACTCTTAAGAAATTTGTTAACATTTTATAAATTGAACGTGAAATTTTATTTCAAAAGATCCTACAAACTTGGTATAATATTAATTTAGACAATCGTTGAACAGATGACTCATAGCTGATTATAAAGATGGTATCAAACATTTCTTTTGTTTCACTGGTAATTCGTGATGCCCATATATAGGAATGCTTTATTTTCCTCATAACCTCCTCCTACGACTCCAGCAGAGCGTGATATTGATGCTGAATTCCACAGTTAATATTTCTACGACTTATTTACTAGTGAACTCCGTAGAAAATACCAAAACTATTCTTAAAGTTTCTAAACATATAGGAAAGTCGTATGGCTATGTAAAATGAACCAAACCAGTGAAAAAGAGAATTGCTAAGAATTTCATAACTTTGCCTTCACTGTTTTGGCATTCAAAGTTGACTTTGTTTCCAATAATTGCACTGAAGATAAAACGGCTGCAATGAAGGTAAAACGGCCGCAAATTAGTACATACGCATACCTTACCTATACTACCCGTTTAAAAGTTTAAGTTAGCATTTCCTTGATTTATTCTCAATTTATCTTTCTTTTAGGAACTCCTTCATCAGTTTCTTACTTGTTATATTGTTAACTTTTTCAGGAATACAGACAGCAAGCAACGAAATAACCGTGAGATGTTGGGAAAGCGTCTCTCAGTGCCAACGACTGGCAACGAAATTAGAGCTGTGAGGAAGAACACAAAAGAATACCAGACACGAGCTATGGAAAGCAAACAACGTATTGATGATGTTAAGAAAAAGTACAATCTGAAAAACAGAGATTACACTGCGAGAACATATGTTTGGAATGAACATGACAAAAAGCAGGCTAAACTGGAGAAGCAACAAAGAAAACTTCTCCGACAACAAATTCGTCTCAAATACAATCTACCAACACCCAAGACAAGCAGAACTACTGTCATTGCTTCGGCATGAAAGTGTCGATGAAAATTGCGGAGTTGTGATGAAAATTAAATCAATAGATGCAGATACAATTGGATGTGCACCCTCTAGGGGACGAGGCACCAGATCAGTATCATAAAGTGCCACCTCAGAGCTGTAATACAAGTCCTAAGATGTCATAAAGTGAGGCGCTGTGAATGCAAGTGAATACGAAGACTGGTTGACCTATGTTAGATTTTGATGAAGACTGATAATCATATCTTAGGTTTGAATGAGGAACGTTGTGATATGTTTGATAATTTTTAAGGGAAGAAGGTATTTTTAAAGACTGCAAGGTTGCGTTAAAAATTATTTACTATGAGTAATGACCTATTTATTTTTCATCAGTGGAAGAATTTGAGCAAAGAACTGAATGGATGTTATAAGGTTAACAAATGAATTGTTTCAATCTTTTCTCGTTTTAAGGGGAACTGTTTGTATTAAACCTTTAAGTTTCAAATAAGAGTTTGAACGTGTTTGATATGAGTATGATTTAAGTTTTAACACTGGTATTTGCATGTCAAAAGTCATCATCCGATACACTTTCAGATCACCACATCACGTGCCAATCGATACAATTCTGTTTAAGGGAGTTGGTTAAAAGTCGAAATCTTTGGATCTTAACTTTTGAGCATTTAAGATACAATCAGGATAGATTACAAATCTAATTAAAAGCACCTCTACGACAGAGAAAATTACACAATCGCTGTTCGGTATTCACCCCTGGGGATATTGTAGGTCACATCACGAAGAAAGCGATCCATACTAAAGTAGATTAGGAGTCTATTTCCACAGGGGCAACTTCAAAAAGCCCTCTAATAGTGAACGATTAAATATCGTTGCTTATTTCTAAGGGAACTGAAACCTGTGCACGTGCCTTCAATTCATCCTACTTCTTAAAAAGTACAAATTTAAAACCTGCAGGTCTGTGCGGTAAAGGATCTTAGGAACTGTTTCAGATTTTCTGCATCTTGATAAATGATTAGCCTAATTCAGTAACGCTCGATACACTTCTCACTACAGTTCTGTTAAAGAGGTTGGTTGAAAGTTGAAAACGTTCAGACCATTTCTTTTGACAATTCAATGTATTATCAGGAGGCAAAACATCCAGTCGATGAAAGTACTCGTATAACCGTGAAAATTACACAATCGCTGCTTGGTGTTCACCCTCAAGAAAATAGGAAGTTACATCACAAATACAGGAAACCATACTAATGTAGATTAGGACTCTGTTTCTACTTTGCGGTATGAAAGGAAACTTTTAATGAACCGACATAGCATTCTCCGACACGCTACCGTACGTGAAAGTTGGTATCCTTCACGTCGACTGCTTTTTCAAAATCCAGGAAATTGCATGCCATAGGAGACATGCATCTTAACTAACGAATTGTTATCAGAGAGGTCGATTATGACGTTCACTCCATGCACAAAACTTAAAATCTTTCCGTCTGCCTTCAGTCTTTAGTACGCCCAATTAAAATGAGTGATTGTAAAAGTGCTGTCCTTGCTATTGGAATGCTTTAAGGGTCATGGCAAGCCTGCAAAAGTAAATTCTTCTTTTTTGTCGCTTTTTGTTGCCGTAGGAGTGCCGTATGCTCACTTATGTATCAAATGGCTTTTGAGCTGGTCACACGACAGTTGGGTCTATTCGGTTTAAAAAAAGGATATTGAGTAACAGATGAATGTACTCATTGACTGGAAATTATTTGTTCAAATGGAACGTGAGGAGCTTTTCATTTTACTGATACATGTGCTTGTGGCCGGAGGTTACTCTTTGTGTTTTACTGCGTAATTGCCGGTGCGTCGATGTTGCCGGTGGTTAGGTTTATTTCTTTCTTTGTTTCACTTCCGTTTCAATTTGAAGTACACTCTCTCAGTTTTGAGAAATGTATCAGAGGTACAAACGAAATTTATGGTAAAAAACCGTTTTCTTATTCGAAACAGATATTTGCAATCACAGGAACCTCCTCCTTATATGAATAAAAAATTTCGAGTGACGAGCCATTTCTAAATCTGTTGTTTTTGTTTTCTTTCTGCTCACTAATCAATGCTCTTGTTCTAGAATAAACGACGGATGATTAATTTCTGCCACCTCTCGAGATCTGCTGCTTCATGCTACCGCTTCGTATTAATAAATGTTACTGTCCTCTTATTAACTACTGACTAAATTGGGTCAAATCATCGTGCCTAACTCTGAAGCTTTTTGGAGTCACTGATTATCATACATGTTTGTGAGAAACTTTGAATGAGTTGTCTGTATGAGAGGTCAATAAGTGTTTTAGTATATACCATAGGAAAACCAAAAAATTAGGTTATTTCAGTCAATATAGAGAAAATGTTCCGAAATTTAACTCTTGACTCACGATTTTGTTTCTTTGTGTGCTTGGAGGTGAAAAGTACTTGCTCATCACTTCTGAACCAGCCAATCAACGCGCGTGAAAAGGAATAATCATCTTCCCGATATTTACTTATGGACTTTGTTCCCTAAGCATAATTTTCTCCCCAGAAAGATCACTTGAAATCCTGAGGAAGGTTGTTGCTTCTTCGTCAGAAAATCAAGAACACATTAGATCGCATTTATAACAGTTTTTCCCAGGAAATAATCCCAATAACACCGTCGCGTGATCTCCAATAGGGCAACAAAACAGCAAGATCTTTTAAAAAAACCATTCAAACCACAGCGATTCATTGTACCGTCTTGGATGAGGCGGAGTGGTTGCATAGGTTAGGGAACTGATATCGAAAGTAGGGGAACAAAGTCAGTTCAAATCTTGCATTATACGTCTCAAGTGATTTCGTTTCTCGCTAGTCGTTAGTTCAACTTCTCCTCTCATCTTAGTCAAAACAAAACTAGTTTGATTTTTACTTTACGTAAAAATTGTCTTTACATGTGTTTATCCATTAATCGTAATCATTATTTGAACATTTGCAAGTGGGAACACAGTTATTTACTGAATAAAATTTGTACACAAGAGAAAGTGTTGGGTGAAGTAGTCAATCATAGAAAGAGCTGAGAGATAAAAAATCCTCATCTCTCCACACAATAACTTCGGTATGTAATGCATATTCTCCGTACTGTTCTCCATACATTTCCTATGATAACGAAGAGGTGAATTTGTTGAACAATCAAAAGCTCTTTAGTTGACGATCATTTCCGTTATTCCCATGACCTTGATGTTCGACGCGGAAGTGATTTTGTATTGGGGTAATACGATACTAGTCTGTCTTAGAGGAAAAAGAGCATAAAAAGTGACCCCTCTCTGTTTTAAAATAATTAATTGGCGAAATGAACTTAGTACGTTTCCTGGTTTGCAAACGGAGTCATTGTGGCGGAGAAGTATAGAACATCGAACAACGATATCCGAAAGTCTAGGGGTCGAATTTTCGAGGAGTTCTTTTTTCTTCGCCTGACGACAAAGAGACTAACGGCTTTCTTTGGCGTGCTAATTTTAAAATATATTGACTCATAATAGTTGAACACAATATACGAATTTTATTACGGGAAACGGCCGAGCAAACGAGTCCGGCTGAAATTCAGGAAGTCATTCTGACAGAAGCTTTTTTAATGCTTCGCGAAGCACCCGTCCTCTTGTATATCAAACATTACTCCAAAGAGTCAAAGCATGTTTTATTTACGCCAATAGCAATCACCGTTTAATAAGCCCACTAACAAATTTCGTACACGTTCCGAACTGGCGAAGTATAGCTCGCACTAGTTCCAAGTTTTAGTTCCGGTAACGACTCAAGTCTCTATCATCATCCACAAGGTGCAATAGTCAAGTAGAACTTTCTAACATGTTTAAAGTTGCTCCTGTTACTGCAAAGCTATACAACGAGAGGTGATGTTAGAAATGATGACGAAAAATGAAGTGAACACTTCGTTTCCCAGACAACGTATCACAACTTTTGACTTTTACCAGAATGGTCAGTGAAAACGATTTTAATTTGATTTAGTTTGCGTGTCGCCATCGGGCTAATTTAAGTCTCCTACGCAAATAGCCAATCGAGAGGTGCGGCCCACTTAAGCTTTTGGAAGTTGGTATAAATTGAAGACTCGTAGTGATATTGGTCTCAACGTTTCATGTGGGATTGAGAGAAAAACGTGCTCCTCATCATGTCTTCCATAAAGCAAGGGAAATCGACTGGGCAAATAAATTGATTATTTACAGGTAATGGACCAAACCGTACATGGAAACTCTGACATTTACTTCGCATGAGACGGAAGGAATCATACAAATTTTCATGATTGCTTTAGTTATGGTGGGTTCCATAGTAGGAAACGGTATGATTTGTCTGTTACTTGTCCGGTTCAAGACCTTGCGAACAGTCCCTAATATCCTGATCGCGCACATGGCTGTAGTTGACATCCTCAACGCTTTGACCAACATGCCCCTGTTTATAATGTGGTACATCAGTGATGTTTCCTACCTTAAAGGTAGGCCTACCTCTTTTTTTATCATTACATGGTTTGTGCTGTTTGTTTATCTAAGCATATTCAATCTTATCGCACTGACAATGGACCGATTTGGAGCCATCGTTCACGGCATCCGCTATCACACCTGGAAAACAGTCAACAAGGCAAAAATAGCTGTACTTTTTACATGGCTTCTAGCGGTTGCGTATACATATGGCATGTTTATACCAATAGGGCTCAAAATTGATCTTGGTGGCGCTGCAGTTTGGGAGTACAGAGAGCAGTACTTGAAGAGCTTTGGAAGGGCCTTCATCATTCTCGGCCATTTTGTGCCCTTTGCGATCATGCTAATTTTGGGAGCCTTAATCTGGCGTGCGGTACGCCGACATAAAAGACGTTTGTATCCGTTTTTTCCTATGGCTAGGCAGGTGAAAAGTGACGTGAAGACCGCCAAGACAATCGGTTTGACTGTTGCGGCGTTCATTTGCATGGTTGTTGCACCCATGTTCTTGCACTTCTTTTCCAAAATCCACGGCACATGGCCTCACTTCCTTGCATTTTTTCTCAGTCTCCTCAATAACATGGTGAACCCAGTTATATATGGACTGTATACTCAGAGGTGAGCGCTTCTGTTTTGCTTTTTTGAATGCTTTTTTTTTCGGTAGGACTCGTTCGGAGATAAATCAAGCACAACTGAGAGCATAAAAATGCAGTGTTCCATAAGCTGCCCGATTTGTAAATTTATCATTGAAATAAAAATAACTTATAATTGGCCATAATTGGCTAATAACAAAGCATTTCATTTGTTTTCTCTTAAATGTAAATTTTGACCAGGAGAGGTTGCCGATATCCCTTTTCATTTCTCATGTGATTGTTCACATTTTTTTTTGCGAAGTAATTCTAAAAAACTGGAACTGAAGTACAAGAGGACAAAAAGTAATCTTTCGCGGTTGGGTTCTCAATATCAAAGTAACAACATTTTGTAATTTCTTTCAATATTTTCACTTGTGGTTGTTAGGGTACAAATGTATATCAAAGCATTAACTGATGTAGTGATAATATTCTTAATGACATTTACATTTTAAAGTTGTAGGAAAGGAAAAATTTGGTTCTACAGTTAAGTTTACATTTCGTGAAAATTAGAATTTTGCGTTGCCTAGTTTATCGACAATTTACGAATAAAAGAAGGAAATTCTACCCTTTTCTTTCATGAACTAAAGATTACGTGTTTCAGTTAACCCTTTAACTCCCATAAGGGATTGACATGTAACTTGTCCTAAAATATGCAGCATTATCCTGCAAATATGTAAAGAGAATAGTCAAACTTATCACGTTAGAAGATGTTATCTTCATTTAATACCAAATTTTCGTAACTACTTTGTAGTCACTAGAGGGGAGAATTAAAATCTTTCATTCCAACTTGATTCATTACATTCTTGAGGATGCAAAATTCAGTTCCGTTTTCTACATAACTGAGGTACACCTGATTACGTATGGACACATGTTACATATTGCGATGAAGTTTTCTGAAAAGCCCGGATTTTTGTTTTGCTTGTGTTCCATCGCAGACTAGTTGTAGACAACCAATCAGCTTACCTATTCTGATTTTGCTTTGCATTGCAACAGGTTTCGCAGAGCGTTTTTGTTGTTCTTAAGAGAACCTTTTGGCAAGTCAGAACCTGGTCAGATATCAACTTCAAGAAAAAATGTGCAATACAAGAACGGGGGACTCAACACTTTTCAAATCATCGTTTCTTAAATTTAAGTGGGCTAGTATAGAAACCAAAAACAGTTGAAGAACAAGAACAGGAAACTTATCATGGAAAGACACAATCAAACTTATTCATAACGGTCACTATGGGGACAGAAGAAAGTTCAAGTAGTAGAAAGAGGAAGTAGTATAATAAAAGCAATATTGAATAAAATTTTTATAGAAAAATGTTGACAAAATGAAACAAGTAGTGGACAGTAAGTCTTCAAGTTTGTTGAAAGGTCGGTTTTCGTATCAGAGACATTAAATTTTATTTCCTTGAGTGAGAGAGGCTGTCAAGGATAGTTTTCTTGAAAATGTGCAGTTTTCGGTAAAATTTCATGTCCTAGTTTCATAAAAATAACGCCAAAGGTAAATTATACAAATTAAACCACGCCGCTGTACTGTAACTGGGTACGTTGCACTTTTCAACTAAAGTTAGTTAACATGATTTCCTAACAGCATTACACTGGCTACTGTTCACAGTTTGCTCAGAGGGCTACGATAAATATTTGTTTTTGATTTACGTTTCGTAGCTTGTTTTAGTACATAGACATGCTGCGTAAAATATGATATATCGGTCTCACCTGTTTCCACCACGGGTAAAGAGATGCGATCTTACTAACCTCTAGAGCAAAAAGAAAAACCTTGTGAAAAGGGCGTGATTAGACGTCGCATAAAACTATGTTTCAACCCGGCAATGAAAACATATGTAGTATATACAATCCCAGACATACAAAATATAATTTACATTTTGGTAAAACTGTGCTTTAACTTTTATATGGCCTCCACAGAACGCACCATACACGTTTGAATCGTTCGCTATGTCATCATTCGCCATGACACTTAGCTTTTATCACCAATTCAACTTCAATAAAATCAAGTCAGCAATCTCACATGTTTACTTCAGATTATGTCGGTCATAAAACTGATGAGCAGATGAGTAGGAAAGATGGAGGTTAAGAAAAGAGCGCGGAAGGTATGGGCGTACTCTCCATTGTACCCTGCTTTCATGACCTTCAAATGTCTCAACATTTACACCTGCACATTACTATTAGCTGAGTTTGGAAAGAGTTCAATGTATAACTTCAAATCATAAAATTTGTTTGCAATTCTGCAATTTACTTGACATGTACTCCATTGAAACCAGAGGTAAATCTTTGCACATTCTCTAATATTCCCTCGTCTAAAGAGTAGTTCACTGTGTTATGCATTATATTCAAATTGAGACCTTTCCTACGGCGAAGCAGTGCAATCGTAGTTTGCTTGATAGATTTAATATTTGTACGTATTTGTGTGCATTACAACATACCCTAAGACTTCCTTGCATCGATCTTCCCCTGTACACCCACATGCCCTGCAACAAACCTGAAATACCGAATAACGAAACATTTTTGAGAAGTGATGAACGTGAGACAAAGAAAAGACATAACTCCAGCCCTCTAGGATTCCAACATAAGACCGACCGGTGTCTTCGAGCCTCAGAGAGCTGATCTGAGAGTAGGCTACAAATTAATTTGGTACATACGTGATAAAAGATGGAAACAAGCTGGTGGTCGGGTCAGCAATGTCGCAGTTGTCATCTGTGGAAACCGGTTTCGAAGAAATGGAGCTCAAAATTTATCATCTATTATAAGGTACTTAATAGAATATACTCCATAATTAAATAATAATCTCTCCCACTAAAGAGCTGTGAACGATAATGTTTCTGGATTGACGCGCGTTGAGGATGAATGGGACCAGGCCCTTGTTGATTGAAGGATGGAAAGAGGAGGTCACCAGATTAATCTCTTTTTACTATATTGGGCGTCATTTGGGCTGCCCCCTCCACTCCTCCCCCCCTACACCCACACACACACAACCATAGCCAGAGTAGCACTTAATAGCCAAAAGGCTAATAAACTTGTCAGGTCAGAAAAGTATGACCGTTTAGGAACATCTGCGTGTTGCCAATAATTCGTTTCTTTTGGAAGAAGGGAGATTCATTAATAAGATCACGCAGTCTACCATATTATGGCTTGCCTTTTCAGAGAAAAATATTCAGTTGAAGCGCGCCAGAAATAACCTGTGCAATATATCTGATGCACCTTGCCGTAGCTCTGTAGGATATCTTGAAGTCATAATGACGCATCAAATGCCTCATCTTTGTTCAGTGTAGTTGCACTCTCTAACAAAGCAGTATATTTACCGATGGTATGCAGTATGTTTAGCACTAATATTGTTGGGATAAGTTAAAAGTCGACATCATCAGGGATTTAAAATTTTTATGATTCCAGATGTCATTAATAAAACAAAAAAAAAAGTGAAAGACAACAGTCATGGCAAGGGAAGCAGACTGTGCATCCAAGCGAGCTTTGGTTGGTCGAAATGCCATAATTTCAACTAATACCTGATTTACAGGAGCAACGCTTGTCTGAATTTTTTAAAAAATACACTCACCGTAAATTGAACAAGTTACATTTAAATTTTGTTGAGAGGTTTTAAGTTCGTTTTTTTTTAACAACTGTTTTATCCCATTTTCGGGTCCTTTTCCCGTCAATCAGGATTACGCAAAATCGGTCAAAATTGAATGTTGTGAGCTTCATTGATTTGACTATCAGTCGACAAATCATGACGATGTGCATTTTATTTCTGAAGGTTGTTTTTGTTTGCACGAAAATAACTTCAAAGATGGATACGTAATGGAGTTCATCCTGTATTTCAGGGTAACTCTTAAAGAAAATTGTCATTAGCAAATTGAAATTTCCTTATTGGGAAAACGCACTTAGGTTGTAGTTGTTGAAAAGCGCCAATCTACATCAGTTATAGTTGAGTGAAACCTGGAAAAACACTTACCATACTTTACTTTGAGGAAATATCTCGTGTTTACGTAGACTGAAATATTTGTTTCTGCACTCATTATTGAACGAAAGTCTATTCATGTATGAGGAACAGTCACGTTTGACCAGTCAAAAGCGAATTTCAATTGTTGCGTTGCAAGTTGTAAAAAAATTACTTTGCATTTTTTTTATTTTTAACAAGAAAGATTGAATATTCCCTTATTTCAAGCGCTATTTTTTTCACTAAATGAAAATTAAGGAAAAACCGTTGTCATACAACTACAATCAGTTGAAAAAAAAATGGATAAAATAACTTGAGACACGTCGACGTGCCGTTTTTCAAATCTTGCATATTTAATTTACAAAGGTACCTGAAGTTTTTGCAGCTTTTGATTTCTTTCTCCGGAAGCAAAAACAACTCTAAAACTGAAATTCTTTCAAAGTAAACTTTGCTCTTTCTATTTTTTGTAACACCCCAAAATATTCTCTTAAACTGTATGTGTGTCTAGTCTCTCTTACAGGGAAGTGTACGGGGATTTTTCAATGTGAACAACCACTTGAATAGTTCCTCCTGCTTGTTCAGATAAAAAAGCCAAGTGTGTTAATTTTTTGGTCATTGGGAAAGCGCGTATGATGTCTTTCCTGGCTAAACAGCGCCAAATACTTGAAACAATCAATCAATTTCTATTTTCGTACACTACTTCGTCATCTCGTTTTGCTGAATAACTCAAAGTGTCTTGGCCACTTACTAAAGACCTCTAATACCTGGAACTAAAATGACCGCTTTGATATCAACATCTCACAACTTAAAAAATTATTTCATAACAAACGTCCTTCTCAGTTAAAATTACCGTAAATTAAAATTATCGGGGAATGAATAAACAAGTGAAATACCAAAGGAGATCAAAGAATAAACATCTGAAAGATATTGAAACAAGTGTAACATAAGTAACATAAGTACACAGGTGTTGATCCATAAAAGAAGTATACGCTTATATGGCGTAGAATGCCTATCGGTATTTCTGGAATAGTCCTAATAAACACACACTTTGATTTAGATTAATTGAGCAAAATACTTTAGGTGTCTCTTGGGTCATGTGTTTACTTAAAAGAAAACTTTTTACTTACGGTTTCCCAAGGTATGCCTGAGTCTAAGAGACTCACAAGAACAGGGGCTCATTATTTAGAAGAGGTAAATCTTGTGTACTTTAGTAAGGTTCTTAATGCACCTTGAGGTAGCTAGAATATTCCAGTAGCAGGCGAAGGCGGAAGTGGCCATTCAGATGAAAATCACGCCAACTTGTGCGGTAAAATAACAATAAAAACCATAACTTCCACGCGGCAAGGCAATATAACGAAAACTTTGCGGTCAAAACAACAATTACAGTAGTCAGCACGTTCTTGCCTTTGGAGAGGCTTATTTGACGTCTTTCCTGATAGTTGTTTTTAAAAATACCCACCCTCTTTCTAAACAGCACCAAATACTCAGACAAGCAATATCTTTTTTCCTAAAGCACTTCATTATCTTACTGTTGCTGAGTGGCGCTAACTGGTCAACCATAACACACCGCGAACCAATGAACTCTGAGTCAACCAAGCGGGTACTTCATCACAAAATAATATTTAGCTAGTCCTTTAGAGACACAATGTTCATTCATTCAAATAATGTCACTTCCAATTTCGTTTAGCACTTTTTTAATATCCGTTGTCGGCATCGGTAAAAACAACTTTACTTAACTAGCTCATATGTTGCATGCCACTTACAAATACTCAATGGTAAAGAAAATTTTAATGACCAAATGAATATCGTTATTTGTTTTGTTTACCAAGCAACAATAGCAATGTCAAACGCGTGAGATATTGGACGCTTAAACGAGGAACAGAATATAAATGATAGCCGTGATATTATATTCATGCACGATCATGAAAATTGCCTTTCGCTTGGATTATCACATATGAATTGTAAACTTGCCACTTTACAAGAATACAGTGATCCCATGCATGCAGTCCACGGTTACTCTGATTCGTCCGATGATGATCGTGCTAAACGAACGATTAATTGCAAGGCGTAAGTCTTACGTATTCAGTTTTAGCCGGAGCATGGAGTTAATTAAAGGCTATGGTTTTCACATTCGACATATGTAACAGTAGAAGAAATGGTGTCGTTCGTGTGATAAAAAGTGCACGAGCCAGGTGGAACACGAACCAAAACGACAATTGCTCAACTTCTACCCAGTGTCAGCTCGAAATTGACAAAGGCTGAAGTCAATTGAGCAGATAAAGAAATGAACGAGACAATCGTCGTGACGTTTTGTCAGTGTTCGGACTTAATATCAAGAACTTTGATGATTGCCACGGCTATGATTGGAAGCATTTTTGGCAATGGCATAATTTGTATTTTATTTATTCGGTTCAAGACGTTGCGTACAGTGCCAAATATCCTGATCGTCAATTTGGCCATCATAGACATCCTCAATGGACTCACTAACATGCCTCTCTTCATCGTGTGGTACATTTGCAAGGTGTATTTCCTCAAGGGTCGTGCACTTTCATGGTTCATAGTGACATGGTATGTGCTGTTCATGTACCTGACAGTGGTCAATCTCACTGTGCTTACATTGGACCGATTTGGGGCCATTGTGTTTGGCTTTCGCTACCATTCGTGGAAGACGTTAAAAAAGGGAAAAATAGCAGTACTCTTCGTTTGGGTTCTGGCGGCTGCTTACACGTATGGCATGTTTATACTGGGGCTTAACTTTGATATTGGAGATGCACCTGTGCTCGAGTACAGGATACACTACTTAAAAAACTTTGGAAGATATTTTATTGTTCCTGGTTATCTGGTTCCATTCTCTATCATGCTTATTTTGGGAGTCATGATTTGGCGCACAGTATGCAACCATAGAAGGAGGTTGTCGACACTCTATCCACATTTAAAGCAAGTTAGAAGTGATGTTAAGACGGCCAAGACAATTGCCCTGACTGTATTAGCCTTCCTCATTCTTGGTGTTCTGCCAATGGCGTTACACAGCGTCGCAAGAAAGCACGGAACTTGGCTTAATTTCCTTGCGTATTTTCTTATGGATTTGAACAGCATGGTTAATCCTATCATTTATTCGCTAAGGACTCGAAGGTAAGCTCGCTTCCTTTTTAAATATCCCACTGCGGTGGTTTTGTCTTGTAATTGACTTTCACTATACAATGAGAAAGAGATTAGATTTTGCATAAAAAAATTTTACTTTGTTGTGTTGTCTTTGAAATGCTTGCTTATACCTTTTTCTTCTTACTTCCCTGATAATTAATTCAAACTGAGCGTATTGCTAACCGGAAAGTTATCTATTGATGTGTAACACGTGATATAATAATAAAAAGCGTGCTCGAGATTTCTATCGCGTGATTGTCGATGAGGGCGAAGTGCAAATCATTTGTCACGCATAGAAATCAAGAGCGATTTTTTTTTTATTGTTTTATCCTGGGGATACTAATCGTTCAAAACCTGACAAGATTAACGTACCTTTTCAAAGAGGCAATTGTTTTCATTGAATACTGAGACACATAGATGACGCACATGATTCTCATTTTTTTCATGGTGGCTCTCCCCCACATACTCACCTCTTCCAATCTTCCTCAGGAATTTTCTTTAGGACTGTTAAATTTTATAACGATTAACTAATAAATACGTTTTTTTCTAATATCTAACAGGTTTCGCAAGGCTTTTTTGCTGTTTCTTAAAGATCCTTTTGGCACCTCACAACCGCATATGACATCCGTGTCACTACAGCAGAAGAAAAATACTCGAAAGACATGAAAGCACAACAGTCAAGTTAAGGACGTAAAAACAAAGAGGAGATGTTAAAATATCGATGTTCCCATTCGACGAATTCAGAAAAACAAAAACGGATTTTACGGAATGTTTGGTCTAGAAAATGTACTTTCAAATACTGCACGGAGCCAGGTCTAAGCTAGATAATTGCCTTTGTGAAGAGTATTGAAGCGACCACTGGAAATTTCTTGATGTTTTAGCTTATCTATTCAAGACTGAAGCACTTACCGTAAATCAATACATGTGTGAATGTTGGCGGCAACCAAACAGTGAAGCAAGTGGTTTTGCGAATGTTTTATTTAAGCACTAATTCTTTTGTTGATTGGTTCGACTACAACTTAAAACACACAGAGAAAATATGGAGCGATTTAAAATTTATAACAGCTAGACTATCATCTGTGACAAGATCTGCACGAAGGCTTCCAACAGCGTTCTCCAGAAGACAACCGAAAAGAATCAGTTGTAACTGAGAGCGCGTTTGATTTAAAACGATTTATTATATTTCTTAGAACTGATAATCTATAATTTAACATTTCAAAGAACAGGACATTCCCAGTAATGGAGGTAACACTCTTTCGGTCCATCTAGTTGTTTACCCTCTCTCCAGTCCTTATCTTTTTTATGAGACGGACTTCGCTTTCCGCGTCTATCGTCCCGCCCAGCAATTCCTTTTTTACAAGTAGATGGAAAAGTACAGTAACACAAGTAGGACTTTTTTGCTTCCTGATAAAACAAATGAGCGATCCCTCCTTCAACGGCTGCACATGTCACTCCCACTAAAACATAACCCTTAAAGACGCAAAAGATAATGATGTAGATTTTAGAATTAATGATACATGAACATGTAAAGAAAAGCTTTTACTTCATCCTATCATTGGTACCTCGGCGGCACTCCTTACACAGGGAGTTTACTTATATTGACAATAATTTATTGACTTTTTTTCGCTGTATTATTTGATTATTATTAATTGATTGCAATTAGATCTAGTGTTCTTAGTGTACCAAACATGGCAACCCAAAACGTATCTCTGGCCGAATATTTAAAAGTTCGAAAAGACTCCCCCCAATCTACCTTCTTTCGTTCTCGAAAGTCACCTCGTAAATTACATTTTGTGTGACCGCTTACAAGTTTCCTTTTACAAGTGGATTCATGGAGAAGTTCTCCCTTAACCTATTAAGTTATAGATGGCTGTAATTATGAAAGGCACTGCAATCAACTTACCTGCGAAGGCCCCTGCAGTATAACCTCTTTGAAGCCATTTTCATTTCTTAAAGCAGAACTTTTCATTCTGTGTCTGCAGCCCTTTAGTGTGACACTATCACCTTTTTCTCCTTTGGCTCCTGGTAAACCGGGAAAGCCTCTGTTTCCCTTTGGTCCTTCCTTTCCTTGTTTTCCTTGTGGTCCTTGTGGCCCTGTCTTTCCGGGTTCCCCTTTGTCACCCTTGTGCCCGTTCTCTCCGGGAGGCCCTTGTGGTCCCTGAGGCCCTGGAATAATTGTTTGATTGACAATCTGAAGAAAAAGAAACATCATCTGACAAAAGGGCTCAAACTTTTCACCACTTTAAGAGGCGGCAAGGACACGTAGTCCTGTTTGTTTGGTCCCACAGAATTGAATCTTCGATGATACAATAGTTTCAATGATTAAAATGGCTTATAAATCCAACTATTCCTGCCAAATATCAAGTTATGTTTCGGACAAATCTTTCACCAAAACAGCTTCAAATGATAGATATAATTAACAGCTCCTAATATCTGACAGGTCAAAAAAAATTAACTTATCTATTTCATGAAAAACGAGGTAAAACACAGATTCTTAGCTGCCTGCTTTGGTTCATGCGGTGTTGGTCTTTCGGCTCTAACCTGCCTTTACTTCATAAGTGACATTTAACATTTCTTCGTAAATCTTATCCTAAACCAATAAAGGAAATCTTGTAGTACTCATAGACCAGAGGGAAATAAACAGTTAGGTAGAGATGTGGCGACGAATTAAAAAATTGTTTTATCCAAAACCAAACCCTGACATATTCAAACCAAGTTGTATTTACTGAGGGGTGTGGATGACTAACCTGGATTATTGCCAGTAGCTCAGCTGTTTTTGCATCAATTTTGTTGTCTAAAATATTGAGTCTCGTCTCTGAAGTTTCATTGACTTTCTCCACCTGTGATAATTGCAAACGTAATAAATAAGCTCAAACAATTCAATGTAATGATCTCTATTTCTTAGGGGAATGTGTGTGTGTGTGTGTGTGTGTGTGTGTGTGTGTGTGTGTGTGTGT